AGTCTTTGGCCAGACTAAAGCCCATGCTAACCAGGCTGTCAGCTCCCAGCACCAGGGAAGAACCTGGGTGAGCATCAGTGCATGAGCACACTGCTTTTACACTGTGAAACTGATGATTGCTTCCCAGCACTCCTGTGGGACTGAAGAGATTAATTGTCCTTATTTCACATTTAGATAATACGTCTTTTTTTCAAAAAGCACCTTTTTAAACTGAGCATGCTGTAGGCTGCAATTACTACCATCAGGTTAATTATACTTTATGCACCACAGGGGCCTGGGTTGTGGGGGATCTTGCTTCATTATTCATGCTTACATTTGTGCCTAGCTTGTTTGCCAAGTTGTAGCCTTATCTGTAAAATCCCTAAACATTTGCTGCATGCATGGGATCTGTTTTTCTAACAGCTCAAGCCCCCTCAGACTTGTGCTTTACGACATCATGGATTAAGGAGAGATCCCTATAGGAAATGGATTTTCCCACCCTTGATTCAGCTGGGGAGGAGAGGGGCAGTCACCTTGCGCCTGGAAAGAGTGAAGCAGCAGTAATCCTGCTTTCTCCATACTGTCACCTTTTCAACAGCAGCTGTGCTGTTTTTTTAAGACTCTGACAGACAAGGAAGTAGGGCTGGCATTCCTCTTCTGTGTCCAAAGGGACCTCACACATCTGCTGGCTTTGCCTGCGCCATGAGAAATGCTTGTGTCCTTTCCATAGAGTCACAAAAGAGGTAAATCCTGAGACTGAGGACCAAAATGAACACCAGCAGCCTGTAAGCAACAAAGAGCTGTGGATAAGTAGTGGGGTATCTGGTGTGGTGATGTTGCTGTCTCACTTTCAGGCTGGCAAACAGTACCATAAGATTGGCAAGCCATGGAACACTGAAGAGCACCTAGGACAAGACACAGAGATTTTATACAGGATGATAAATCCAGAAAAAATCTCTATCTTGGACAGAGGAACAGCACCTCAGAGGCTGAGTTTTGTCAGCTTTGAAACACTTCACATATGTAGAGTCAAGCATGATAATGCTGTAAGCACTGCAGAAAGCTAAACACATCCCTGTCCCCATATTCATGTCAAATAATATTCCTTAGTATGCACTAAAAGGAATAAAAGAGTAAGATTAGCCTTCTAGCAGGTTTTTTTTGAAATCTGGCAAATACCATGACATTTTTCAGTTGCAAGGAGTAAGGGTGGCCTCTCCCAGTCCTCTCTCCATTCCATTTGTTTTGTGGATCTATACCCACCTACAAAAAGGAACCTTTCCTGGTTGCCTCTCCTGGCAACTCTGAAGTATTATTTACTGATGAAATAGCACCTCTGTTTACATGTTTCTTTGACCCTCTTTCCAGGTGGGATCTCAGCCTATAATGCAGGAGTTAACACTGTCCAGACCTACAACAAAAAGGGTATTGGCAAAACACACAACTATGCCAATGATGGGGATGCGAGAGCCAGGTTTTATAGGAAATAATGGACATTGATATCTCTGAGTAATGATTAGATTTGAGGCCCTGATTTCATACTTTGCTTCTAATTTAAAACATTCTGAATTTCTCCTCCAGACACAATAAGAATGGGGCAGGACAATGAAGCCAGGAAGAAGAACAAACTTGCAATGGGATTTTTTCCAGCTAAGGCTAAAAAAAAACTTAAAAGATAACACAGCTAACAGTTCAAAATGTAACTTACCTTTTGCCTTTAATTTTTATCTTTCATCATGAGAATATCCAGAGTTTTCATCTGTGCCTGCAGTTTCTCAAGCAGCAGATTAATGCTGCAAGGAAGTTGTAACACTACTTAACAAGATTTTACCCACCTTATTTTTTATCTGTTAATACACGTGTCTAACAGCTGTACAAAATAGCAGTGCCAGCTCTGGAGAGAGCCTGAGCTGTCCCTGTCAGAGGCTTTCAACACCCACTGAGCAACCTCATCTGGCCTCAGTACTGGCCCTGTGTTGAGCAGGAGGTTGGACTGGAGACCAGAAAGGTACTTTCCAATCTGAATTTTGCAATCTTCCTAAGTCAGTCTGTCTGCTCCCTACACAAAAAGGGAAAAAAAGTCTCCTACCTGTGCTTCACAAAGATCTACATGGAGCATTACAAAGCTCCATTACTGAAAGGGTGTGGGCACACACTGTGTTTGTGCACACTGCTGGTTCAGGTTTTAGGGTTTGAGAGCAAATCTTGAGAGCATGTATGCTCAAACAGAGAAGGTTTGGGATAGCAGACTAACTGTGGGAGAGTGGGGGCCCTTGGGGGAAATACCATTTCAGAAACACCCAAACGTACACATACATTAAAAAGTTTTAAAAAAAAATTTTCTTTTTCATTGGAACTGTCAGCTTGTCAATTAAACATCTCTGTAAAGACCTCTTGCTGCTGCATCGTACTCAGAAATAACAGCTACTGTGTATTTTGCCTTCTCTCTATGTGGGAGCCTGCAGTGTCCATAGTTTATCAGACACTTCTTCAGCTGTGAACGGTACCAAGCCTTTTCATTAACACAGGCCCTCCGGCATACCCTGCAGCACTTCTGTAGGCTGCAGCACCAGAGATCCACACGCACATCCATACACAGAGCGGGTAGGATGGAGCTGGCAGAGCCCTCTGCTGGAAGCTCCCCAGGCTGCAGCGCCACGGACGTGAACCCCGAACGTGCCCGGCAAGGCTGAGCCAGCCCTGGTGCTCCGGGACACCGATCCAGCCACAAGTCTTATTATTTGTTATCTACCAGCAGCAAGATCCATTTGCCTAATTTTCTGTGTCCTAGTACTTGCACCATCTTTTTAAAGAATGTCCTGTGCCTTGGATGCACTACATATATCCTTCAAGAGGGCTCAAACTCCAGCTTGTACCTTCCTGTGGGAATATGATCAACACCTCACAGAGACTGCAGTCATAACACACTGCACCACAAGATGCTGTCCAGTTGCTGGAAGAAAGGCAGGAGGTGAAAAAAGCAACATTAATTTACTTGAAAAATGATTAATTTATCTGAAAAGTGATTAATTAATCACTTCTCCCATGCTATTTTATTTCAGCTCAAATTCTCATTTCTGGCTTCAGCCTGGCCATAGGGGCCATTACACTCATCAGTGCCACTACCACAGCCTGTTACTAACATATTTTATGAAAATCCTGTCACTAAGATTTTTCTCCTGAGAAGCTTCACAAAAAAAAATGTGAACAATAACAATCTGATAGCTGTAGAATGTAGGCTAGAGATGATTTACCAACAGGTGCATCTTTGATTGGTCTCATGTAAATTGTTTCTATTTGATGACCAATCACAAGTCCAGCTGTGTCAAGACTCTAGTCAGTCACAAGATTTTATTATTCATTCCTTTCTAACCTTCTGATGAAATCCTCTCTCTATTCTTTTAGTATAGTTTTAGTACTAATTTTCTTTTAATATATATCATAAAATAATAAATCAAGCCTCTAACACATAGAATCAAGATAGTCATCTCTCCCCTCATCCTAAAAACCCTCAAACACCAGCACACCTATCTTTTTCCCTCCGCACGGTGCCTCCAGCTCTTATATCCCTGTCCCCTTTGAACTCCTACAGGTGTTTACTCTTCTCTGCAAGCAGGCAGAAAGGATAAACACTAATTCTCAGTGACTGCATCCCTCTGATGTTCTCACAACATGCAGTCATTAAGATTAACTCCTCTTCAGTGTGTCTAATGTGGGAATGGCTCGTGGCATGTTAAATTACAGAATTTATCCTGACTGGAATGCAAACTACTTTATCATTTGATACAGCAGCAGCTTGCTAACTTTGGCCACAGTTCTTAAAACTGTAAATAAAATTACACACACAGTAGTGTTTTATAAGCTTGCAGCCCATAATTCTAACTCACATCAGAGGTTTTCTTCAGGGTCTCCACATTTCTAATGTCTGCCATTCTAGAAAAGGAAAAGCATTAACTTTCACATGGACTGCAGCTCTCAGGCTATTCTTACTGAACACTTAGGATCAGGGGATACATATGATCACAGCAGGTTTCCTGAAAGACAAATTAGAAAGCAATCAAGAGGTGAATAACTCCCAAATGGAGAGTTCACATGCTTTGTAAACTACAGAAGAAGCCAGAGGACAGACTGCTTGCTAGGGAACTGTCACAGACAGATTTTTTGTGAAAAATCCTTTCTTTAGGATTTTTCCCTCTTCTGGGAAGCTGAGGCCCCAGAAAGAGAATGGAAACAATGGTTATGTGTGGAATGCAACAGGTGCACCTGTGATTGGCCCATGTTCCATGTTTACAATTAAGGGCCAATCAAAGACAAGCTCTCTCTGGGACAGAATCAGAGAGAGCTCCTTTGTTATTCATTCCTTTTCTATTCTTAGCATAGCAGCTTCTGAACTACTCTCTCTATTCCTTTTAGTATAGTCTTAATGTATTATATATCATAAAATAATAAATCCAGCCTTCTGATCATGAAGTCAAGATTCTTGTCTATCTCTCTCACCCTGAGGAACCCTTGCAAGCCTGGTAACAGGGAACAAGCAGAGTGAGATCTGGATAACCATGGTAAATCACTCTCCAATTCTCATGTGACAACTAAACAGAGGGCTTTTCAATTCCAATTCCAATTGCCTCCTCTGTGCATTGGAAGTCCTGCAGTATTGCTGTAAATCTTTACTGCTAGCTGTGAAATGTCCTCACCATCATTAGCTAGAACTATTCTACTCACCTCTCTGCTTATTTGACTTTACCAATAAAGTCAAACTTTAATAAGAGAACTTACAGTTAGCCAAAAACTGCAGCAATCTAGCCACAAAATTAAAACACAGAGAGCCTATAATTCATTTAATAGTTCAGGTAACTATTAACAACATTGAATTTTGTATCTGTACACCTGCAATCCTTCTTTGAGCATCAGTACCACCTTCGCCATTCATAACAGAGTAAGAACTTTTACTTTTCATACACAAACTCTTAACTGGGGATTTAAAATATTTATTTTATAAAATCTAAATCCAACCAGCACACCTTATGCCTTAATTTCTTTCTGCTCCACAGGTTTCAGGCGCTTTTTAATGATAAGCTCTCCTCTGCTTGTCAGAAAGGTGCTGGACAATTCCTCTTCTGTTGGCAGCCCGTGGGGGAGCTTCAGTGGCTGAATTCTACAGGCAAAAGAGTTTGCTTAGTGAACTCCTGTGACTAGAAGGGAGTTACATTAAATGTTCCAAATAAACAAACAAATAGTTAACAAACCTTATCAGATGTTTAACAACTTTCAGTCTGGAGTTCACAGAAGGGATATTTTTGTGCAGTCTTGGCTGATGTGCCTACGTAAGGGATAAAACAAGTTTTACAAATGTGTTGCCAAATCCAAAATCTTTGTTCACTGAACTTTGCACACTACCAGTACAAAAATAAACCACGTTTGCAAATGTAAGATTTAGAGAAGTGCCATGCATCAAGAACTGACATAAAAAATAACGCAATCAAAACTTGATTCCAGTCAAAAGACAATTCCAGCTTTACTCCTACACCACTATAAATGCATTTTTCTTCCAACTGTTAAAAATACCATAAATGTAAATACAAGAGTTTAGGGGCAAAACTGATTTCTTCAGTTATATCTAAAATTGATCAAGCACACATTTTTTTCTCTGTAATATAACACTGATTAGACAAATCTTTGCATAATGTGCAGTTGGCCTGAAAAACTCAGATAAACACATCTTTGACACAAACTTTTAGAATCCTGAATTTGGAAGCCTTTTCACTGATAAATTAATTTTATTTGCCTTCCTACAATTTCTGAATAATATGACCTGCAGAGACCTGAATTCAAAGTATTTACAAACCTATTTCTATTCATTTAGAAGAATTCTCAGGGTAAAGCTCTCCTCAGGCAATGCAGCACAATACCATACAGAGATATTCTGAATTCCCACTAAAAGCACATTTGCCTCAAACATTCACCTCAGCTCTTAAACACATCATCACCTTCTCAGACTGCTTTATGGCTGCTATACATGTAATTCTGGTTTGTGACTGCAAAATGGAGATCTTTATAAAACCCACCAACTTAGTTCTGACATACACAAGTATAAAAAACAACAATCATACTTTATCCAGTCCCAGATCACGGATTATCTTCTTTTCCCAATATGGACGACCAATGACACTTTTTATTCTGGTGATAACATGGATTTTGTGGGGCTCCTCAGGGTTACCTCCATACTTTTCATGATCTCCAGGCCGTGGCTGAAATACCTAGAATAAAAAGTTCACAAAACCAGAGGTTTTATCCTTAAATATCTGGTCATTAGTACTGCAGTTCACTACTGCCCAAAACACACTTCAATCTTGGTAAACATTCTTACGTATTTTTCTTTTCAGGCAGTCAAAGCACCAATAAAGTGACCTCATATTTAGCTTTTATAACATGAAGTCAAACATATTGCTATGATGGTTAGCTGATAAGTATAGTAACTCTAGAATTTAGCCACAGAATGGCACAGAAATACACAGACAACACCCTGTACCAGCACAACACCTAATTCACATGCAATTTATCAGGGAGCCTGTGATCAGCCTCTGGATGGCAAGTTTTTCCACAGGCTTTAAGAATGCTTTTAGGGAAAAGAGTCAACTAGCACCAGATAAAATTAAAAATAAATAAAACTAAAACTATAAATGTAAGAAATGTGAAGTGCAAGTCAAGCACATACCGAGTCTGGAATATTGGACCTGGTAAAGAGACAACGAACCCACACCGGGGACGCCATCCCCTCCACGCTCTTCCCCAGCACCTGCAAGGAGAGGAGGGCATAACTTGTCTGCACTTTCCTTACAACTGTGAACACCTGCGAACAGATGACACAGCCACGAGTCCCAGACCCACCTGGATCACCAGATGGACTCACCCCCACGAGATCCCCTTGGATCCCTTTCCCGGAACCCCACCTGGATCCCCATTGTCCCGGAGGCTACAAATCTCAGCCCCAGCTCAGATCCCCAGCTGGGTTCCCGTTCCCCCTGGATTCCCCCACACCCCCAATCCCCACCCTAGGTCCTCACCTTCCCGGTGCCCGCAAGCCCCAGAGCCTCACCCTCCCGGTGCCCACAAACCCGAGGTCCTCACCTTCCCAGTGCCCGCAAGCCCCAGGCCCGCCCGGCCAGCCGCCGCCGCCATCGCCGTGCGCACCCTTGGTCCCGGTCGGACACCGCTGCCGCGGCACTTCAGTTCCGGGCGGGCGGAAGGACAACGGTGCGGCACCTCCCCTCCGTTCCCCCGCCTAGTCCCCACTCCCCGTCCCGTTCCCGTCGGGAGCCCTCCGGTTCGTGTCCCCGTCCCCGTCCATGTCGCGGGCCGGGAACGATGGCATTGCCGCGCTGGAGCGGGCCGGGGCGGAAACGCTGAAGCGGGCGGTGCAGCTGGACGCGGCGTCCCGGTTCCAGGAGTCGCTGGTGTGTTACCAGGAGGGCATCGACCTCCTGCTGCAGGCGAGGAAAGGTACCGGGCCGGGCGCCGCCGCCGGGGCTTGGGGTGGCCCTGGGGACACACGGGCAGTGCTGGAGCCCTGGCGGTCTCCTCCCGGGAGAGCCGGGCCGGGCAGGGCTCGGGAGGGCCGGCCCCTATGCTCAGCTGGCCCGTGACTTTCTGTGATTCACAGCCACGACTGATGAGGCGAAAAAGCACCGCTACCAGCAGAAGATATCCGAGTACCTGACCAGAGCCGAGGAGATTAAAGAACACATTAAGAAACAAGGTATGAATAACTAAATGAGGGGTACCGAGAGGAGGGAGCCAGGCCCTTCCTGGTGGTGCCAATCACCAGGACATGGGGCAGAAACTAATGCACGGGAAGTTCTGCCTGAGCATGAGGAAGAACTTGTTCACCGAGCACTGGAACAGATTGTCCAGAGAGAGTGTGGAGTTTCCCTCTCTGGAGATACTCAATGAAATAAATAGGGATCTTTCTCCTTTTTAATGCCTTTATTAAAAAATCAGCTCAGGTGGGAAGAACCGACGGGTCGTTCTCACGCCGCCGCTGCTCCCAGGAGTGGCACGGAGGAGGAGGAGGAGGAGGAGGAAAAGTGCAGCTTTGTCTGCTGGTCTGTGGGCAGAGCTGGGGCTTCTGTCCTCGCGAGAGCACCAGGAGATTCCCAGTTTTTCAATTTAACATTCGAGGTCCTCTGTCTAGCCAACGTCTTTTAGGTTAGGGTGAGGGGTAAAAACGGTCTTAGTGGACACTGGATTCTGTTCCTCATGTCTAGACATCCCTTTGATCCCTCAATTCCGTGTTGGCTCGTTGTTTTTAGGGGTTTTTGCTAGGTTTACCTGCCAACCCCGATGTCCCCTCCTCTTCACCATCCCGGGTGCCATCCTCCAGGAAGCAGCAGGGTGTTACTCAACAAAAAAGGGGAATTCCCAACCATCATCCACAGGTAGTTAACAAAAAACCAATAACAACAGGTGATTATAACAACAAACAGTTAGAACTCCACCCTGGCAGCAACTGGCCCAACCTGTCAACTCTGCAACCTTTTAAAAAAATGGGCAACTTTTCTACTCAAAACACTCAAGAACTGTCTGGACACAATCCTGTGCTATGTGCTCTGGATGACCCTGCTTGAGCAGGAGGTTGGACCAGGTGTCCTGCTGTGGTCCCTTCCAGCCTGACCCATTCTGTGATTCCCTGAGCTGGGATATACCCGAGGTACCCGTTTGCTTTTACATGTCTGTTGTTACATGAATGTTTGATGGGCGAGGTGTTTAACATGAGAATTATGTCCTGACCTTTACTTAAACAGAGATTTACTTTCCTTTCAGATAGCAAATACCATAAGCAAATCAGGATAGAAGAAAATGCAACAGGTTTTGGCTATGAAAAGCTTTTCCACGAGTACCTCACTGAGAATGTTTCTGAAGTTTGGGTGGAGGACCCGTACATTCGCCAGGTTCATCAGGCAAGTAGATATTTGGTGTAACTGATATAGGTGTAGCCACTAGAGAAATTCCAAGCTACTAAATTAAATAAAACTTTTTCAGTTGTATAACTTTCTACGATTCTGCGAGATGCTAGTTAAGGGGCCATGCAAGGTGAAAACAATCCACCTCCTCACTTCCTATGATGAGGTAAGTGTCTAGATTTTGAGTTCTATTCTCTGTACTCAGATGATGCCACATGCAAAACAAGATAAAAAAATAAAGGCTTGTTCCTAGATAGTTGAACATAAGTAATTTTGTAAATTCAGAGTTTTCTGGTTAACAAATTCTGAGTAAGCAGAATCTTAAATTGAAATTTCTCTGAAAGTTTTGTTGTGGAAAATGTAAAAACCAAAGCATCTGTTGAGACAGGATTTTTTTTTCTCTTCCAACAGCTGTATTTGTTATTTTAGAGGCTTTCATAAGCTGAAATCTCTCAAATTACCACTGCACTTATTTAAACTATTACTGCACTTACTTTGGCTCAAATAGTACATATCAAGTTTCAAAGAGCTGAAAGTGAGCTCATCCTCCACATCCTTCAGCAAATATACCTGTAGACTGTCTGCTTTTTATCCTGTCTTTGAAACTGTAAATCTGCCTTCATCCAAGTTACTTTCTTTTGGTTTGCTTTGATACTGAAAATGTTTTGAGTTTAAAGGTATATGAGTTTAAGAAGTGGTGATCAGAAATAGAATATATAATTTAAAAAAAGAAAATGAAACCACATCACATTATTTTTACTTTTGATAGGGTAGTGGGAGGAGTCAACAGATGAGTGCATTGGAAGAAATAAAACAATCATTGAGAAATTATGGAGTAACACTGAATATTAACTTTTCGTCCTCAATACATGATCGAGAAATCAGGTGGGTGATATAAAAAATGACCAAATAGCAGTTATTTGAACTACAAACTATTTAACCCTAAAAGTTAAATAGTTAGCTTTTGAGATAATTACGGCTGTGGTTAACAAAATAAAAGGCACTGGCCCTCACTGGATGAAATCAGCCCTCTGTAGTTCTGTATTTTTTAATTGTGAATAGTTGTCTCTATACAGAATGGTATCTTCTGTGGTTCACACAGGTATAGGTGACACTAGGAAATAATTGTGATTGAAACCAGGAGCTTGTGCATCATGTGGATGTAACCTTTTTATTGTGCATTTTTCAAACAGATTCAACAATGGGTGGATGATTAAGATAGGAAGGGGTCTTGATTATTTTAAGAAACCAAAGGTAAGGATGCTTTGACTTCTTTAATTAAGTTAAAATGAGCTCTTCATGGTGAGTATATGCTCACCATGTCAATTCTGTTCATTTCTGCAGGGTCTTTTCAGCATTGGATACTGTGACTTTGACTTGAGACCTTGTCGTGAAACAACAGTGGATGTCATTCTTACTAAACACACAAAGAAAACGTGATCAGAAATGACTGCTTTTAATAAGTGTTTTCATAAGCATAAAAATGTAACACTGAAACATGCTGCTTGAGTCCAGCTGGTTGCCCACAGAAGCAATTCTTCTAAGTACTTAGTGCAGCACAGCTTTTAAAATCTATATGTTTTAGAATATTTGAGACTTTCCAGTCTGAGGAAACCAAACTGCGTGATTCCTTCATTGTATTTCTATAATCTTAATTACAATCCATGTCTAAATTTTATCTTGATTTCATAACAGACCATCAATAATGTCTTTCAAAAGCCTCTATACTGTCATTTCTATTTTTACTGTTGATTTTTAATTGAGCCTGGTTTGGATTTTGTATCTTTAACTGACCACCTAACAATCATTGGAAGCTGGGCTCCCACATGTCCCCTTTTATAAGCATTCTTATTTATTTCCTTTAATTCCTGTATTCTAGTCATGACTATTATTTTGCAAGGTTTTTGTCAGTCCTGTAATACTTTATTTCCCAGATTTAACTAGTAATCCCAATTTTCACATTCCAGTTTCCAAGCTCTTTGCCTATGAATGTGGTAAGGGGTTCAGAACACAGTCATTTTAGGGTTGTCTTATGTGTCTCTGCATAATGGATTTTGGACTGGGAAGGCTGCAAACAGCTGTAATCTCTTCCCTGGCACCCCTGTGTGTTCTTTTATTCTGTGATACATGACCAAATACCTGATATCCATCCTTAAGTCTGGAAAGGATGTGTGATCCTCTCAGTCTTACTCTCTGTCTTTAAAGCCCAATGACTGGCTTTTCATGCCACTCTCAACTGCAGTAAGTATTTTGCTACCTCTAAGGGAGTCCCCTAAAAAGAAAATTGAAGTTTTTTCAGAAGTTGGGTACCCTGAGTATCTCAGTTGGTCAGAGAATGGTGTGAATAATGCTAAGGTCATATTTTATCCCTGTAAGGGCCATTCACTTAAGAGCTGGACTTGATCCTTGTGGGTTCCTCAAAATATACCAAGTCCCTCAACTCAAAATATTCCGCAATTCTTAGCAATATGCTATATTTAGAATAAAGTCTTCCCTTGTCATTCCTTCAGCCTTTGGAAACTAGAAGGTATTACCAGAGGTGCTGCCTTTTTTTTTTTCCTTATACAAGAGTTCTTTGTTAGCAAGAATCTGCCTAAGTCATACAATCTGACATAAAAAACAGGCAGTGGCCTCTTTTTCAGGTCCCATCAAAATCTTTTCAGCCTCAGGACTGACACGTGCCTTACACTTTCTGCCTTGTAATACAATAGGCCTTTATATTCTAGTAGCATGTTTATTGCTAGAACTTTTTTTTGTTTCCTGTATTTATTTTTCTTGATGGTTGGTGTATTCCATTATGGGGTTTTTTTCCCCTTAATGTACTTTATTATTTCATCTTCTGTCATCTAATGCTGCTATTCTTTTCCTCTTTTTTCTAATAACAAATCTATTCCACAGCAATCAATAGGAAATGGAGCTGGTCTTTCCCTTGTTTTCTGGGTCACAATTAGCCAGTGGTCTGCCTTCTTTATCCTTTCTCATAATAATGTTTCAGCTTTGCAGTGTTGCGTCAGCAAAATGAAAATATATGTGCCACAGAGCTGTGTGCTATTAGTCATTCCCCCAAACATTCCATAGGAGCTTCCTGGTTTGCTGCTGTGATATGAAGTTTCTAGTCACTTGTGAATTTTATTCAGTTGTGTATAATATATGCCTATTTTTAATGGGAATAAAGGTTATTTTTTATTATTTGTAGCTTCAGTCATCTTTTGATTTCTTCACACCAGGAAATTCAAGGAAGCTGCGTAATGCCTCAGAGATCCAGCCACATTCTGGAGAAGTCTCACTGTAAACACAGTAATTTCCTGTGTGTGAAGCTTTGTGTCTTTTAACCTAGTATGGCAATTTCAAACATAGAGGATCACAGAATTAACTAGGCTGGAGAAGACCTTTGAGATCATCGAGTCCAACCTGTGACCTAGCATCACCTTGTCAACTAGAGCATGGCACTTTGTGCCACATCCTGTCTTCTTAAACACCTCCAGGGAAGGTGACTCCACTCCCTCCCTGGGCAGCCATTCCAATGCCCAGTCACTCTTTCTGTGAACAGTTATTTCCTAATGCCCAGCCTAAACTTCCCCTGGTGCTGCTTGAGGCTGTGTCCTCTTGCCCTGTCACTGGTTACCTGGGAGAAGAGCCTGAACCTCACCTGGCCACAGCCTCCTTTCAGGTATCTGTTCTGACCTAGTCAAAATTGCATTTCACTTTTCCTTCAAAAACTGAAATACATCTTGAGCCTTTTTTCCATAATTTTACTATATATAGAGCTATTATTTAACAATAAAACTGTCACTTTCAGTTCATTGTTGCCTTTTATGGGAAAATCTGCTAGGTGGTAACATAAGGAAACTCTCCTAGATCTGTATTTGCATTTTCAAGTGTTCAGCTTTGATAGCAGTACCCAGGGCAGCAGGGACTCCCAGTTTGTGCCAGGCACAAGAACAGAGGAGGCACGTGTGGCCTCCCAGTTAGCCTCCTCCGTCCTCATCACATAAACCCCCACACTGAACTTCCTGTCTTCCCCTGCTCTTGCACATGGACAAAAGCCCTAACCCAGGCTGCACTTGCAGTGATTCACTACCCAGGGCTGAGCTGAGCTCACTGCAGTGCTTGTACAGCAGAGGCACAGCACTCTGCAAGAAGGGACTCTGAATCAGAAACCAGGGAACATCCCTCTCCACACAGCTCAGGGGCTGTGACACAGCCTTTGGGCTACTGTCCACAAGGAGCAGGATGCAGGCTGGGGCATCCAGTGCAGCAGCACACCACCAGTTTTACACCTACCCCATCCCATCTGTGTCAGCCATTTGTACCTTCTCTGCTACAGGGCCAGTTTGGGATGTCCCCACCACTTTCCCTGGTTCAAGCAGCAATGATGTCTTGTCAGCAGTGGTTTCAATCCTACAGTTTAGGAACATCAGGTGCATGCAGTGTGAAATTTAATTGTAATATTAAATAAAAGCACAAGATTGAACAGTTTGTTTTCTACAAGCTGAATTTTTCTCTTACTAGTGATTGTTTTAATTTTGTTTTCAATACATTAAATAAAAAAGCAGCAGAAATTTAACTTACATTTTCAAAATGCAAGTCACATTAATCTTATCATATTCTCACACAGTAGACTCCACCTGCTGTGCAACTCATCATCTTGTGGACACACTCTTAGCAATGCTGTCACTAGTGCAGTGATTTCGTTTGGGCAAAACTTACTGCCAGTAAGACTCTTGACCAGTTCACTGTACAGTCCTGGTGGCAGCCACTGCTCTGGCAGATCAATGTTACAGACTTCAATCCTTCCACGCTTTACATCCATATTTACTTTAACATCAAGAACAGAATCTTTATAGACCATGTTAAGACATGTGCTGATGCTGAACTTTGGTGTCTTTCCATACACCCATTCCCAGGTTTGTAGTTCTTTAGTTTTGTCACTAATTCCAGGAAGCAGAGTCTCATCAGCTGGATTTATTAAGGTGATATGGTGATCTATCTGGTGCTGCATAGCATATTCTTTAGCAATGGCATCCAGGAGCATCTCAGAAGTTAAACTAGTATCCTCTTCAAAGAGATTTTTCACCAAGGCAGGCACACTAGGAGTGGCATTGCTCTTTAACCCTTTAAAAGGACTTTTTAGCACAGAAGATAAAACAAACTTATCTGCATTACAGAGTAAGGTACAGTGGTGATAAGCACTTGTCCTTCCCAGCTTAGCAGCAGTGCCTGAGATTTTGTATTGCCTGTCTAGCAAGATGTCATACCTGTCAGTGACATGTACATCTAACTGGGGTCGCAAGGCTTTCAGAGCCTTCACAACGAGCTTCAGGTTTTCCATTCGTTCATATTTTTTTCTGGTTGTAAAGAAAGTCAAATTGATATTGCCTAAGTCATGGTAAACTGTTCCTCCTCCACTTCTTCTCCTGGCTAGTTTTATATTTTTTTGCCTCAACAGCCTGAGGTTGCATTCCTGCCAGGGATTCTGATGTCTGCCTATTACCACGGCAGGGGAATTTCTCCAAAGGAAAAGGACCTGTTGCTTCTCTAAATCCATGTGGTCATGGATCCAATCTTCCACTGCTAGATTTTGGTAAACATCATTAGAAACAGACTGGATAATGAGGCCTCCACCAGCTGTGCTCCAGAAGCAAGCTTTCGGAGTCCTGAGGACGCAGGGCAGCCAAAGGCAGTTCTTTACCGACTGGAGCCCCATGTTTTTAGTAACTGCACAGCGCACGGAAGGAATGCCTGCTCCGCTAATGCTGAATGCGCCAGGAGCGCAGCCGGCTCCTGTGACAGAGCTGAAAGGCGGGTGGCGGGCATGAGACACTCATGCTCTTCCCACAGCAGCACGGCAGCTCCCAGGCACGGCGCTCCCCCGCTGATGCCGCTCAGACCCGGCGGGAGCCTCGCAGGACATCGGGGGTGTCACAGCAGCTGCTCCTCGCACTCCCTGGTGCCTGAAAGATCAAAGGAAGAAACGGAATGTAATGTGTATTTTCCCCTCATTCAACGCAGCCTTGCTAATTCGATTTCAAAGTCCAGCTTTGTTAAGGTTTTCTGCCTTCTTTTCCACGGGGTTCCCGGCGCGGC